GTGATGACCACGCGGACCTTTGCCGCTTGCGTGAACCGGGGCTCGACCCAGTGCTCGGGGCAGCCAGGGGTTGAAGCATTGGTGTCCCCATCCGCGGCGGGGTGGTGGGGAGATACGGGGAGCTGCTCGTCACTCATTCCCTGCCGAAACACAAGCAGGAAAGTGAACCCCCTCTTAGGGGCTGTGCCGTGTGCTGCAGCTTTGATATAAGGAGAGATGGGGAGACGGTGGCATCTGCACCAGAGGCACCATCAGCTCCCTGCCTGACCCTGCCTGTCCCCTCACGGTCGTGGTGACACTGCCCAACTGCCCTCTTTGGCTAACCCCGGCCGTAGCTATAGTGATTGCTCACACAGACACACATTTTTAGCTCCTTACGAGGCGGTTGAGCAGCTGGGAAGCGCAGTCACTGGCCAGGACCACAGGATGAGCCGTTGCCCGCCAACACCCGGCCGGGAATGGGTCACACTGGAGCTGGCAAAGCGTGTGCCAGGGCAGCCTGGCTCGGTTCAAGGACTTATCCTTCCAAAGGGGCTTTGCAAGCCAGGCTCAGCTTTTTAGAAACCCTTTTAGTGTCTTAAACCTTAATGGTCCACCTCCATGTCCAGCACCAGATCTGGGGCCGTGGGTGGGAGCACCTGGGGGTGGCCGGGAGGTGATGAGATGGGTCCTGTGCTGTCTGGAAACCAACAGCGGCTCTTGAGAGAGGGTCATGGTGGCATTTAGGAGCCTGGACCTTCCCAGGAGCCGGGCAGCACCATTGAGGTGGGGGTAAAGCCCTGGCAGCAGGTGTCCCCAAGCTGAGCCTGTCCCATGCCTGTCCCACGGCGCTGGCAGCCCTTTGTCTTGGGGAGGCAAAGCAGGAGGAGGAGGTGAAGGTAGAAACACACCAACATGGGGGGTGATGAGCAGTGTGATGGTCCCCCACAGCAAGCCGTGCTCCTCCAGCCCCCCACCCACACCCCAAGCCCCTGAGAGCCAGCCCCTTGGCCGCCTTTGCCCCGCTCCCTGCCCAAAAATCAACCCAACAAGCAAGCAGTAAAAAGAAAAAACAGGTAAAAATAAAGCAGGTAAAAAGTACTGAGCCACTTTTTGGGGAGAAACAAGGGGAAAGCCATGTCAAGGTCTGGATTTGTCCCATACCTGCCGTCCGCATGCCTTGACTTCCCCACCGCTCTCCCACCGCCACGGCGCCCAGTCAGGATGCTCCAGCGCGTCTTTGCATCACGTCCCTGCAACAAACCCCTTGAAACAGCAAAATTTCCTCTCTCCAGCCGCCAAGCCGGGAGCTATGCTGGTTTTAGCACAGGCAGCCGCGGGCATCTGGAGATGGTGATGCTGATAAAAACATGATAAAAAAAAATTTCCCCTCTGCCGGCAAACCGAGAGCGGGGCACGCAGAGGTGGGCACCCACGGGCTGCCCAGCCCTGACAGCTGCCGGTGTTTCACCCCCAGGCAGGGGCTGGCACCCCTGCCCTGGCGGGCTTAACGAGCTGCCCGATTTTAGGCTTAATGAGCAGGCAGCGAGGAGGATGACAAAGCCGCCGCATTGCAAGAAATGGCCCAAATTCAAGATATTGGAGCCAAATGTGGCCCCATCAGGGATAAGTGCCAACACTCCCTGCATCAGTTTTTCTATAAATACAGGAAAATGAGTTAATTATCCCCGGAGTTAGTGATGAACATCCCGTTGCTCAGACAACCAGGAGACTCACAGCACACACTGACACACACACGCACCCCGGCGATGCTCCTGGACCACACGGGTCCGTGGGAGCATCACGGATGAACACAGGTACGTGCCTGGACTGGAAATGCTGGAAGGAGGGAATTAATAAGGAGAAACTTAGGCCATTTTGCCATTTTAATGAATGCTTTTTTTTTTTTCCTGCACTCTATCAGTTCCCACCTTGTTCTTTTTGTATTTCTTGCAGAATAACACAGGGAGAGCTTGATGTGCGTCATGAAAAAACCTGGGAGGGACAAAGAGCTCACAAGAGCTTCAAAAATATGATGGGCAATGCAAGGACAGGCAGGGAAACCGAGGACACCCTGCTCCTCCGGCCAGCGAAAGGAAAAGAGCTGGGGGGTGACAGAGGGCCAGCCCCAAGCCCCAGCACCGGCAAACATTGTGGGGACTTTAATTACATGTAAACAGACCTTCACATCTCCCAGTCTATTAAATTAAGAAGTACATCACATACAGGGGGAGCACAGGTCCCAGGCTGGAAGCAGTGGCTCTGCCTTGCTCCCCAGGACGATGATGTTCACTATCTGGGATGGGAGGTTTTCCATCATTAAACCTATTCCCATTTATTCCCACTTATTAGGAAATATCTGAGCTCTGAGCAGGGGTTGCACCATCTTTGAGGCTGCTCTGCTTGCAGGAGTGCTCCTGGACACAGCAAAAAAAACCAAAAAAACAACAACAACAACAAAAAAAAAAACCCCAAACCCAGATTTTTTCCCTTTTGTGGGTTTAAGAATCAAACTATGAGGCCGAGAGACCAGATCTCAAGATGCTGCAGGCGCTGGACCATCACCATCCGTCCGAGTCCACTAAACCCTCCATCACTTCTGTGTTTAACCGCGAAAGGGACCAGGCTGGAAATCTCTGCTCAGAGCCGCAGAGGGTGATTTATACATCCAAACTCCTCTACATCTGAGGGGAAAGAGAAAAGCAAGACCCACCACCGGCACTGCCAGCCCTCCACCCAAAATGTGCCCTCAGGAGCTGGGAGCGACATCGTCCTGCAAGATCCACTTTTAAAGCTGTTTAACAGCTGCCATCAGTGACATCCCTCCGTGGGGACACCAGCCCCCCGATCCTGCTGGATTCTGGCTGAATCCCCAAAGCCGGAGCACCAGCCTGGTCCCTGGGGGGTGGAAAAAAAGACCAAACCCACAAAGGAGTTGGGTGGAAGCCTGTTTATTACAGCAGCCACCTCCTTCTGGCTTTAGGCTCCTGCTTAAAGCCGAGATTAACTCGGCCCCGCATGTCCATTCAGATTTTTCCTTTCATTTAGCTCTTTGCACCTGCACGAAAGCAATTAAATAGCGCGTCAGAAATGTGTTCCCTGTTTGTTCTCCTTGCCGGCTGGTTTTCTTCTTGTCTAGAAATGTCCTCTCCATCCCCGACTGTATGACGCAAGGCAAGGAGAGGATTTTTCTCGGGAACTGTAAGCCTCACTCATGCCACAACAAAACCTTTGGTCCCGGTTCAGAGAGGATTTTTTTAGCATGCCATCACGCAGCAATGTCCTGGGCATGCATTAGCAATTAGTCTTATTTTAAGGGCGGGGTCCCTTATTAAAATGACTATTTTTCTCCGGCATTTGCACAGTAACCCCCTTGTGTTTTCAGTTTTTAAAAAAAAATTTTTTTTTTGCTCATCTCAAAGGTCAGCTTGGATGTTGTCTGCTCAGCAGCCTTCAGCTGACTCTCTGAATGCTGGTTTAACCATCAGAGGGTTTTTTTGGTCCCCAGGATTAGGAAATAGCGCTGGCAGGCAGGGCTTCTTTCCATACACCCCGGCTCGGCTCTTTCCGAAATCCTCTCCTTTTGGGATGCTGCCCCGGTACATCCCCGGAGCTCAGCCCAGCGCTGGGTCACAGGGAGCCAAGAGCATCCCCAGGCTCCCCAAACTGGGCTTTTCTCCCCAGATCCATACGGATCATCCCAGGATGCTGGAAAAAACACAAACCAGAAAACCACAGCAGGTAGCACAGTCCCAGCGGCAATTTTTTGCATGAAAAAACTTTGAAAAAAGCACAAGCTCTGTGTTTTTCCATCGGACATCCCCTATAATTCGGGATCTCATGCAAGGAAAGCGGCACGGGATAGAATTTCCATTAACCCAGTGCAAACGCAGGGCAGGGAACCTGCTGTCCTGTCTCCTAATAAATCACTACCAGAATCTTGGCTTCATAAAAAAGGGAAAAACTTGTCTTTTCAAGAGAAAAACTCCTGCTGCTGGTTATTACCATTACAGGGGGTAACGATGGCTCTTCTTCAAGCAGAACCATCCCACAGCAGCACCCACCGCCTGCACCCTCGCCCCAGCACCCTCACCCCAGGCAGGTGTTTCTGCCCGGCTGGTTGTCCAAAAATTCCCCTTTGCTCAGAAAAACCTCATGACTTCAGAGTTTTTAATGTTGATTTTTTTTTTTCTTAATATTCCTTCCAATATTCTTCTCCTCCTCCTCCAAGCCTTGAATTGTCTCAGGAGCAGCTCGTCCAAGGAAATTTTTGTCTCATGCTGGACTCGAAACAGAAAGTCTAGTCAGGGACATCTGACATGCGGTGTTTTTGTGAGTAAATACCAGCGGCCATGAAGTCATTTCCCGGGGTTAGAAATGAGCTCACCTCTGGAACGGCTTCTCTTCTTACCCAAAGTTCACAAGTCAAAGGGTGGTGGAGCTCCAAATTTTCATCCTTCTCATTATAGAACAAAACTGGGGTCGCATGCGGCACGGTGCTACCTCTGGCTGGAGGCTACGGATGGGTCCGGAGTGGGGCATCACCCTGAATTCCCCAAAATCTCTGCAGCAAAAGGCAGAGGACTGAAGGTCCGCAGTCACCGGGGATAAATCAGCGGCTCCTGTTCCTCCCTCCCCCCCCCCCCCCGCCGCTCCGCCGAGCCTGCCAAGAGGGATGATAATTGCTGTCCCTCCTGGGGATAAGCTGGGTCATCCCGTTCCCCTCCGAAAAGTCTTTGTTTAAAACAGAGGGAGGGATCTCTCCTGCCCACTGGGCAAGATATCTTGGCAAACTCTGTCTTTGGGCCATTTCTTGGTGAAATAAAGTATTGTTTCTGATTCAGCTCCATATATCAGATACTCCAAAGCCCTTCTCCGGGGGCATCATGCCATCGGACAGTGATGCTCTCGGTGCTCAAAGCCGCTGCAATTCCCATCTTTTAGCACCTTGGCTGGTGCTCCTGGTGTTGCTGAGCCCAGGACATCACACTGGACATCCCAGTCCTGGCCCCAGTGAGGATGGTGAGACCTCCCATGGCAGGAGGGGTTGAAACTAGATGATCTCTAAGGTCCCTTCCAACCTAAACCATTCTGTGATTCTATTATTCTATGAAGGACAAGGACCCCACTGGCCAGGGAGCCCAGATCTCCAGAGCATCCTGCCCAGAAGTTCCCCAAATTTTACTTCTTCCTACACAAAGCAGCAGCTCTCAGGGTCTTTCCTCCATCTTCCACTAGAACATCTCAACCAGAGTCCAATCCCTGTTCTCCATCTCTAAACTAGAAAAGAAAGAAGACCGAATTTATCAGCCTAAGACCAAACCCTGAAGTCAAGCTCTAGAAAACACAGTGGGCTTCTGTGCCGAGCCCTGTCCACTCGCTGCCATCCATAAAATCGGGATGCACACATCCATCACCGCTCCACCCACCATTCATCTGCCCACAGCAGCTTCGCTTCCTCGCCCAGGCTGGAAACCCCAGCTGGGGGGATTTATTTGGGAATTCTCACCCGGCACCCCAGTTCCATGATGCTCCTGTCCCCCAAAAAAGAGGAAAATCCCGCCCCCCCAGCATCGATGGAGGGACCATCGGCTCTGGCACGCACTCACCCAGCCAGGGCTTTTGCTGCCCTCAGTGGGTATTTTTTCTTGAGCTGGAAGAAATTATGAAATCCCAATGTTTTCATTCTGACTAACCCATGGAAATGAACAATTTTGCCCTTGTTTTTGGATGGGTTTTAGTTGCTCTCCTTGTCGTGCCTTTTTTTCACTCCCTCTGGGACCTGCCCATCGTGTTGCTCCAACCACCAAACATCCTCCTCTCTCCATGCTCCCAAATTGGATCCTGTGCCCCAAGACCATGTTTCAAGGATGCTCCTTCCCAAACACAGACCAGACCCAAGGGCTGGCTTCCTCCGGTTCCTGCAGGAGAGGTGAGAGCCGAAAGCCCCGTGGGACCCTTGGCAGCATTACCCAGGGCTTGTGGGGGCGAGAAGCAAGGAAAATATTTCCCTGGCACATCCTTCCCCCATGTTTGGTATCTCTGAGCAGTTTTCCAGGATTAAAAATGCTTGAGGGAGCTTCCCATGGGGATATGACCACTTTGAGGAAAGGATCGGTGGCTTGGTGCAGAGAAATGCCATTAATGATTAATCAAATAACATGGAGGAATATAATTTCCGTTCCCCCACCCTGTTTTTACCCTCCCACAATAAGCCTGCTCCTGGCAGAGCCCTGGCACCATGGGACCCTGGTGTCCCTTGGGATGAGCATCGGTGCTGACATCTCCCCCCGGCTGGATTTGGTCTCCCAGGGAGGAGTTGCATCAAGTTTCCCTTGGGAATAGCTTATCTCACATCCTGCCTTCCCACCCTGCTCCCAGCTGTTTCCATCTCAGCGGGTCCAAGATGCTCACACCAGGATGCTGCCAGCCCTTCCCTCCAGCAGCGCCTGGCCCCCACCAAACGCCTCTGCCCCCGCTGCCGGCAAACACACCTCGACCCTCCGACGAAAGCTGATCTGGCCACAACCTCCCTGGGGGGAATTCCGGCAGCGCCAGAATTATCTCGGCACAGCTCGGCTTTTCTGAGCGTGCCCTCAGCACCATGCACGAGGTGGTGAGATATTTTATGGCTCCGGTTGGCCCCATGACCACAGGCGCTCCGGGAAGGGGAGGTGTTTCCATCCGTTTGCACGGATGCTGACAAACTCTTTTGGAGCTGAAACTCGGAGGCGGATCGGCCCCGGTTACCCCAGCCCAGGCTCAGCTCCGTGTTGCTCAGTGCAATAATTAACTTGAAATAAATTTATGCACGGGTTAACGAAGAGTCCCAGCCACCCGCCTGGCTCCATCCCTTGTGCATTTTCTGCCCATCCCAAGTAGAGGCTCAGCCACACGTTAAAAAGCACCTTTTAACCTGGCGCTCCAGTTTTGCTGTGCCCGTGTCTGCAGGGGCAGGAGGAGCGTGACCAGCCCAGGATCCCACCGCAGGGTCAGGACTGAGACCCAGCCTGGCCCATGGTCTGTCCCATCCCATGCCCGGCACGGCCAGGAGAGAGGGGAGGCTCTGGCTGGAAGTTCTCTCTCTTGCTCTGGGTTGTCTCCCCCCGGGTCACCCCTCTCTCAGGGTCGTCTCAGTCTCTCGGACACTCGGGCTCTTATCTCCATTCCGGGATTGTGGTGTCGGGACTCTCCCTGCTCTGGGATCATTGGCCGTGAACGGGCTGAGCCTTGATCACAGGGTGGTGAGCAGTGTCACCGTGTGTCACTCATTTGGATATTTGTATATATTATTACTTCCAGTATTATTGCAGTTTAGTTATTAAATTTTTCTTATGTCACTCCCTGAGTCACTTCTCCCTTCACCCCTTTAGTTCTCTCCCCATCCCCGGGAGGAGGAAGGATGAACAAGCCGGGT